CATTCTTCCTTCGCATATTTGGTCATCACTTTATGTTGATGACTTCGCTATAGCTTACTCGGGCGCAGACTGTCAACTGGTAGCAGCCTCCCTTCAGGTAGTGATAGACCAAGTTTCCCATTGGATCACTTCTCATAGCTTTAAATTTTCCAGTATGAAAACCCGATTCATTACCTTCACTAGATGTCCGCTTATACCGGATACTCCCTTGTACTTACACGGTTCACATATTCCGACATGTGATACGGTCAGGTTTCTGGGCCTGCTCTTTGACCACCGGCTGATGTGGAAACCACACATTTCTTCATTAACCCTTTGAGGGTCGACAGGCCCTCTCCGAAACTCGTTCTCAGGGTCGGCCAAATTTCAAAAAAAAAAAAAATTATTTTTTCTTATGAAAAAATAGAGTTTTTTTTTCTAAACATTATAGGATAAACAAAAAAATTTTACCATCAATACTTACGGAAATATGGATGCATGAAGTTTGCAGAAAATGAGCCGCGTATGGCAACAGCGGCGACTGCCGCTCACCCGGTAAACTTTGATTTACTTGTATTTGAAGGTTTGTTGTTTTTTTCACTATTTTATTTTTTCACATAACTTATGTGGCCTATGAGACCAAAGTAAGGTGCAATGTACATATATACACTCGTTGTATACAACACAATAAGCACACAAACATAATTATCAATATATTGTTTACAAAACTTGTTTACAAAAACAAACAATATAAAACATTGTTTATTATTATTGTTCTATAATATATATACCAATATACAGTCACTGAACATATTCCTATTAGTTCTGCAGCTTGTGGAACTCTGAAACATGGTGTCATACACAATGGTGTTTTATCTTTCTCCCTCATTCTATCTCTTTCAATCTGTCTCTTTCTATCTGTCTGTCTATCTCTGTCTCACAGGTACACATAAATACAAGTATACATAGTATAAATTACCTAGGATAACCCAAGAAACCCAGACAAAGTGCTATACTCTGCTTGAAGATGCGAGTAAAAGTGATGACACAGTCTTGTGGCTCTCTGAGACAGAGAGCTAGACGGATAGACAGATAGACAGGGAGCTTGACAGACAGACAAATAGACAGACAGAAATGTTAGTGTACCAGTACCAGTGTACTAGTGTTCCACCCTCCTCCTCCTCTTCTTCCTCTTCCTCCTCTTCCCCCTACTCTTCCTCATACTCTTCCTCTTCCTCCTCTTCCTCTTCCTCCTACTCTTCCTCTTCCTCCTCCTCCTCTTCCTCCTCCTCTTCTTCCTCTTCCTCCTACTCTTCCTCCTCCTCCTCTTCTTCCTCTTCCTCCTCTTCCCCCTAATCTTCCTCCTACTATTCCTCTTCCTCCTCCTCTTCCTCTTATTCCTCTTCCTCCTACTCTTCCTCCTCCTCCTCTTCCTCTTCCCCCTACTCTTCCTCCTTCTCCTTCTCCTCCTCGTCCATAGTGTAAATTACAAGGAGTCGGCAGCTGTCAAAGTGACATATTGGCTCATTACTCTTTCCCCCTCCGGCCTGTCAAAACAATGGGGTCGGATGCTGCTTCCCCTCCTCCATTCTATCTAATTATCTTTCTCCCTCATTCTATCTGTCTGTCTATCTCTGTCTCACAGGTACACATAAATACAAGTATACATAGTATAAATTACCTAGGATAACCCAAGAAACCCAGACAAAGTGCTATACTCTGCTTGAAGATGTGAGTAAAAGTGATGACGCAGTCTTGTGGCTCTCTGAGACAGAGAGCTAGATGGATAGACAGGGAGCTTGACAGACAGGCAAATAGACAGACAGAAATGTTAGTATACCAGCAAAAACAAAGGGAGGGCGATGTTCATCTCATCTTTTGGCATCAGCTCTACCCTCATTTACCCTCATCAAACGTCAGCACTTATCAGATGTTATCTCCCCTTATCTTGTTACTGTCATGGGTGAACATTTATTATTACATATTATTATTATTACCTATTATTATTATTATGTATTATTATTATTATGTATTATTATTATGTATTATTATTATTATGTATTATTGTTATCATTACATATTCTTCTTCTTCCTCCTCCTCCTCTTCTTCTTCTTCCTCCTCCTCCTCTTCTTCTTCTTCCTCCTCCTCCTCTTCTTCTTCTTCCTCCTCCTCCTCCTCCTCTTCTTCTTTCTCCTCCTCCTCCTCTTCTTCCTCCTCCTCCTCCTCTGCCTCCTCCTCCTCTTGCCTCCTCCTCCTCTTGCCTCCTCCTCCTCTTGCCTCCTCCTCCTCTTGCCTCCTCCTCCTCTTGCCTCCTCCTCCTCTGCCTCCTCCTCCTCTGCCTCCTCCTCCTCCTCCATTCTTGAAACAAGTTTGAAGAGCTTGTAGTTCATAATCATTATCATTATCATCACCAATGCTCACATCTGAGTCTGGGATTTTGGAAAATAGGAGTTTCCTCTTTGATTCTGGTACAACTGAACGACGGCCCAGCACCAGAGGTGGAAGGCTGTGGGTTGTCTGGGTTTTCCTCACTATTACCCATATTATGGTCATTAGTTTCGGTCAAAACCTCACCAGAACCTTGAAACTCATCTTCACTGTCACTTCCATCTGTATTAGAACTGTCACTGGGGAACAAAAGTGTCCCAATTCGCCGAGGAGTGAGGAACTTCTTACCGCAGGGCACGGTGGAAATTGTGTACTATGATGGCATTCCCACAATGCACCACTGGGTCCCAGATTTTTTTCCTACTGCGCACACCCACCACACAGACCCATTCTCTCACATCTAGGCTTATCAGCCTTTTCCTGCAAGATTTGAGGCCGCTAGAATTTATGCGTACTAGTACGTCAAAAACCCCTACGCGTAAGACGTACTAGTACGACCAAAACCCTCAAAGGGTTAAAGACAATTTGCCATGGTCGGCTAAACCTCCTTAAGGTTCTTACATATCATTCATGGGGAGCAGATCGTCGCACTCTCCTCCATTTGCATTCCACCCTAATCTTGTCTGTGCTAAATTATGGTGACCAGATCTGTTCTGTGGCTTCTCCTGCAACTCTATCTAAGTTAGATCCTGTTCATCACCAAGGTCTCTTCCTGTGCCTTAGTGCCTTTCATTCATCCCCTGTTGAGATCCTCTATACAGAAGCGAATTTTCCATCCTTGTCTGATCGCCGTGATGCTCATTGCCTCCACTATTATGTTTGATCCCATGACTTCTACAATCCTTCCATATATAGGATAGTCACTGATTTTAGTAAACGTTCTTTATTTGTTCGTCGCCCCTGTTTACTCCATCCCTTTTCTTTCCACCTGCATTCACTCTTGTCTTCTCTTCAGTTACCACCTCTCTATGTTCGTATAGCCTCTCACTTTTCCCTGCCCCCTTGAGAAGTTCCGGCTGTTCGTGTCTGTTCTTTCCCACTGCCATGCGCGAAAGCCCAACTACCTATGGTGGCTTCCCACTCTCTTTTTCTTGAACACTTCCGCTCTCATTCTCACGCTATTACAGTGTACACCGCTGGTTCTAAGTTTTCTGATGGCGTCAGATTCGCAGCAGTGTTTCCGGACAGTGTTGTGCAAGGGCATTTAATACCCTTGGCTAGCATTTTTACTGCTGAATTGTATGCCATTCTTGTAGCACTTATCCATATTGCATCTATACCTGTGTCACCATTTGCGATCATTTCAAACTCCCTTAGTGCTTTACAGGCTGTACAGAAATTTGATACACCTCGCCCCCTAGTTCTTCATATCCAACTTTGGTTATGCCGTATCTCTAGCAAACACAGAGATATTGTTTTTTGCTGGGTCCCTGGTCATGTTGACATACAGGGCAATGAACAGGCAGACACTGCTATGCGGTCAGCGGTACATGACCTCTCAGTTTCGTATAGAGGTGTTCCATTCACGGACTATTTTGTTGTAATTACTACCCATCTTCACACCTGTTGGCAACAACATTGGTCTGATCTGCTCCATAACAAACTTCATTCTGTTAAGCCGAGTATAGGTTTCTGGCTGTCTTCTTGTCATCGGTGTCGAGGTTGGGAGACTACTCTCTCCCGTCTTCGAATCGGCCACACTCGTCTTACTCACGGGTATCTCATGGAGAGGCGTCCTGTTCCTCTCTGTGAGAATTGTCAAGTTCCAGTATCTGTTAGCCACATTCTGTTGGACTGCCCACTATGAACGAGCATGCAGAATTTATACCTTCAACGTCGTTTCTGCTCTGCTGCCCTTTCCTTACCTTCCCTTCTTGGTGATGGACCCTCCTTTCATCCAGACTCTCTCATTGCCTTTTTGACAGCAACTGATTTACACAAACTCTGATGATGATGTCTCAGGCACTCTTCTCAGCTCTTTCCACCTTAATCTCTAGCTACCCTCTGCCCTTGCACTATCCACTGCCCTGCAACACTTCGTAACCTAATAATCATCTCTTTCCCTCTTCCTACCCATTACCCCTGCATCCTTCCTGCCCTGCTGTGGTGTATAACCCTTGTGGTTTAGCGCTTCTTTCTGGTTATAGTAATAATAATTCAAAGCCATTACAGTGGACCCCCGGTTAACGATATTTTTTCACTCCAGAAGTATGTTCAGGTGCCAGTACTGACCGAATTTGTTCCCATAAGGAATATTGTGAAGTAGATTAGTCCATTTCAGACCCCCAAACATACACGTACAAACGCACTTACATAAATACACTTACATAATTGGTCGCCTTCGGAGGTGATCGTTATGCGGGGGTCCACTGTATATAATGGGACTGACACCGAGAGGGTTACTAGGTGGCAAGGTTAAGTTCGGTATTTTAAATGTATTATTAGAGAGTGCATACAGTGCTGAAGAGGACCCCAGAAGGGGATTGAAATATACAGATCAATCAGTCTTCTGAGTTTCTGTCTCCATGTGGGTTATTATTGAGCATGTATTAATTTCATGTAATAGTTATGCTGTGCACATATCTTTTAATAATTTTTTTTTTAATTTGAATTAATTTTTACTTTTTTCCAGCTATCTGGTACAGAGGACCTGGACAACGATATTGATGAACTTTTACATGAATTTGAAACTAAGTGCCAGAGGAATGTACTGCACTGTGTACAGTTCTATTGAACGTTAACTAGGAATATTTATTGAAAATGTAAGAGGTACATTTCCTAAGCAGTTCATTCCTTAATATTGAACAGTGTTCATGTGTTTTACCAAAATTAAATAATTTGCTAGCTCATTAGTGATTTCAATATTGAGTATATATTTTTTTTACATATTTTTTGAATTATGATATGCCACATGTATCAAAAAGTGAATTCACTCTTAAGGTACAATATATCAAGATAGAGTTCATGTTATATCTCATCTGTTTTGAAAGGTTCAAGAATGACTCTCTGAAATTAATTTATTGTGATCATTAATAAGAATATATGTCAGTACTGAAGGAGTAAAAGCATGGTTAAATCATGTCATGTTTTACTGGGAGTTTAAGAGTCATTTTTTGGGGTATGTAATTGATTCTTTACTTTAACTTAAATTATGCACTGTTGAACAACCAGATATCATGTACATGACATGGTTTTCATAGATTCCTGATTCAGTAATTATATTATAAAAGAAATACTATTTCTATATATATGATACATTGATTAATGAAGCACTGTAATTACATTATCAGTACTCTGGTGTTTAGGCACTATGCTTACATTATCTGTACTCTGGTGTTTAGGCACTATGATTACATTATCTGTACTCTGGTGTTTAAGCACTGTGTTTGCATTATTGGTATTCTGATGTATAAAAGGAAATTGGCTCAGTTACCTTGAATGATGAATTTGCATTACTGTATAAAGAAATAGACTGCAGTAGCAGTACATCAGTTCTCCACACAACCATTTCTCTGCAAACAAGGGATACATGCCCGGCATATAGGAAGAAATTCATGAAACGACCATCTGTTCTTCTCATTACCTACTCTAAAAAATCTAAAAGAAAACTTTCACATTTCTTAACCAATTTTTACTTAAGTAAGAGTTCATCATGAGTGTGCCAAACAATAATAATATATGCCCAAAATGTAATATCATTTTATTAGAAAATTATATTAATAGATGAATATCCATTACTAAGTTACCAAAAAGTGAAAATAATTTGTTAATTTGTTTATTTAAATTTTCCCTTGAACATAAGAGCTTACCACACATGTACCAAGTACATTTTATTTACAAAATAGAAGATAAAAATTAATACAAAATTATAATATCTTCTATACCTTTAACACAGCTAAAATAAAACAATTCACATTTCATGGCTTATTTTTTACAAAAAATGGTAATGAAACTATTCACCAAATAATTAAATACCAAAAAAAAAAAAAAATGCATTTGAAAACATTGAGAAAATATTAATTTTTAAATGGAGGTTCACTTTATGTAAGATGTATTGAGTGACTGACTTTCCTAAAATTCATTGTTATAGCTAAGAGGAGCTTACTATACAATGCCTGAGTAGTGTTGGAGAAACAGCTTTACATTGTCAAGGGGAGATAATCTTGGGAATTATAGGTTCGGTTATAAAAAAAAAGTGGCACTCAAATTTTAAAATTTTAACTTATTCTACATGAAAATCATGCAGTACAGTATGGAATTTTTCTTTGATCAAAAAATAAGGAGGATATGAATACTGCTTTTTATACCTGTACAATATAATGTTAAACTGTTTTAGATGCACAGATCAAGCAGATCACATTCATGGATAGATGAAGTGGAACATTTTGAATGATAAATTAAGTGGAATATTTGAATGATAAATGATAAAATTTACTCCTTGAAAAATGGTGGCGATTTAAGTTCAGTATATATTCTGTTTAATAATTTAAAAAAATGTATAGGTCTTATAAACAACACTTGAATTTCAGAAAGATTATACTGTTATTTATATAGTGTGTAAGTGTATCATATGAAAGAACAGTATTAATTACAAATATATATTATACAAACCAGCACTTTCAAAATGCCTGTATGTTCATTCTATAATACTTGGTAGCAGTTTAGGCTCTTTACAATACAGGTGCATGTATTTTATTGAAAGGCATTAATACTCTTTTGATCAAGGATGGAAAGTAAAGTATAAAAAAATGGAATCTGTTTAGTGATGTTTATGTGAATCTGAATTTTCCATAAATTTATGATTATTACTGATTTGGTCACACTTGTGTCTGTATGGGTGGCTTAAGTCCTAATTTTTTCACCTCTTTACAGTACAGCATCCTGATCACATCCAAAGAAATATTTATAATCTACTGTACTGTATGCTCTTTTTTTCTGTATGTATTTTTTTATGGGGGGATGTGAATTACATTTAAAATTCTTATAATCTTACCTTAAAATAATTGGGGAGATGCTTTCTTGAGTAGTTATTTATGCATACTAACTTTAAAGAAATAAGTTGTGATTGTTGAGTAACACCAAGTGTAAACATCCAAATATACCATTATATAATGTAGAGGTCATATACAGTGTCTAGCTGTACAAGCTGTCTGTAATTTAAAGACAAACACTCAATAGCACATGTACAGTAGGAAGAAATCACTATAAAAATGTGACTAAAAAAATAAAAAAGTACGTACCTGGCATGACAGTAAAAGTATTAATAGAACAGGAACACCTGACACTTGAATATGTGTTTCTGGTATGTTTAATAGTACATGAATGGTTTTACAGTACTGACAAGATGAAAATTAGACACATATGCAACAACCGGGTATCTTTATTGTAGACATTTTGCCATCCAGTGGCTTTATTAATACAAATTCAAGGACATGAATGGAAGACAGAACTATATACAGAAGATGAGGTAATCAGTCCCTCAGCCTTGGAGTTAGTGTAAAGAGCACTAGAGTCGTGATATTCTAGAGCATAGGTAAGAAGGCTAGTGCTTATATACTGGCGTCAGGTGGAAGGGACAGGTAGCAGATGAGGGCATAGTCACTGGTAGGCGGGATGTCCCAGTGGAAGTAGATCATACCCAAGGTATGGGTTAGTGGTGGTAGTAATAGTAGTAGCAGCCATGACGAAGGTTGTGTAGATGTCCTGTGAACCAAGATTTCATGATGTTGCAGTGTCTGACAAGTTGTACATGAATGGTATACAGTACCAACAAAATGTTGCGTATGTGTCTAATTTTCATCTTGTCATTCATGTACAACTTGTCAGACACTGCAACATCATGGAATCTTGGTTAGAGGACATCTACACAACCTTCTTCACAGCTGCTGCTGCTACTACTACTACTACTACCACTAACCCATACCTTGGGTATGACCTACTTCCACTGGGGTATTCCGCCTACCGGTGATTACGCCCTCGTCTTCTACCCGTCCCATTCCACCTGATGCCAGTATATAAGCACCAGCCTTCTCGCCTGTGCTCCAGAATCTTCACGACTACAAGTGCTCTTCACACCAACTCCAAGGCTAAGGGACTGATTACCTTATATTTTGTACATAGTTCTTCTGTCTTCCATTCATATCCTTGAATTTGTATTGATGAAGCCACTGGATGGTGAAACGTCTACAATAAAGATACCTAGATGTTGCATTTGTCTAATTTTCATCTTTAATAGTACCACTGGTACTTTTTAAGAGCAAATACCCCACTGCAGAGTAGGAAATATCAAATGTGGGAAGGGAAGAGAAGTGTAATGTCTGGGTCATTTGATGGGCGAACCAGTTCTCAAAGACAGGCATTGGTAATGTTTCCCAGCACATGAGGTCATGAAGTGGTGCAGTCTCAAAAAATTATTTGTTTTATATTTGAGTTTTGAGACAGCAGCCACCCAGGGAGGTACCACTGCCCTGCCAAGTGAGTGTAAAATGGAAACCTGTAATTGTTGTACATGATAGTAGGATTGCTAGTGTCATTTTTCTATCATGTAAACAAACAAGATTTCAGGTACGTCTTGCTGCTTCTGCTTACTCTTAGGTCACACTACACATGCATATACAAGAATATATATCCACACTCATCTGGGTATTCTATTTTCTTAATAGTACTTGTTCTTCTTTATTTCCTTTTATCTCCATGGGAAAGTGGAAAAGAATTCTTCCTCCGTAAGCCATGCACATCATAGGAGGCGACTAAAATGCTGGGAGTAAGGGGATAGTAACCCCTTCTCCTGTATAAATTTCTAAATGTAAAAGGAAAAACTTCTGTTTTTCTTTTTAGGTCACCCTACCTCGGTGGGTTATTGCTGGTGCTTTGAAAAAAAATAATTCGGGTTTTGCTATTGTTTGATTATATTATTATTATTATTATTCTTTTTTCTAATCTGTGACCTTTGAATGTCTGCTGCCTCTTCACATCTGAGTGATCTGGTTCTTGGATAGTATTCCTTCATTTGTCCACATTACTACATTTTCTTGCCATGGGTTGGAATATAGCATTGTTTCAGCCAGTATTGTTACATTCTCATACCACGGGTTGCATCATAGCAGTGTTTCAGTTATTGTAGTAATCTCATGCTGTGAGTCGGAGCATAGTTATGTTTCAGTGTAGTAATATTCTCATGTTGTGGATTGAAACATATCAGTGTTTTGGTCAGTTTGGTAATATTCTCATGATGTGGGTTGGAGCATTGTAATGTTTCATCAGTGTAGTAATATACTGTTGGTTGGAACATAGTGTTTCAAACAGTATAGTAATATTCTCAGGCTGTGGGTTAGAGCATAGTAAAGCTTCAGTCAGTGTAGTGGCTAGGGATGGGACAATACAAAAATTTTGACAATAGCAATATACACTTTGAAGCCAATACAAATACCATCAAAGTTAGCCAGTATCCACCAGTAGCGATTCCCTGGTGGTAATATTCTCAAGCTGTAGGTTGAAGCAAAGCATCTGTCACAGTTAAGTAACCAGATGAGTCCACCAGACATATAGAAGCAGCAGTTGTTCATGGATCAAATAAATATTATTTTTCCAGAGTGTGTCATCTCTGACCTCAGTTGTGCTGGAAAAAATTATGAGCAGCTTTACTTGAGAATTGAGCCCACCTGAAGTGATCCCTTCGTGGGAACATATAAACTGTGCATAATTCAAGGCCTACATCAACTAAAATCAAGCTGCTATTGTATTATTTTATGTGGCATCATGCTTATATTTTATGCATATAATATGCCTAAGGGTGAATTGTATGCTTCCTGGCAGACTTGTTGCATGGTTTTCACTAAGAGATCATGGCTTCACTCTCCATATTATGTTTCAGTTATCTCTTGTCTTTAGACAACTCAAGACTTTTGTTTGTCTCAGTGTCAGTGTATTGCTGACCAGCTGTAAAAAAAAAAAGTGTGTATGATTAAACTGTGATTGAAAAAGTGTATGCAGGCATACTTTTATGAACATTCACTATACATTAGGTCACAACTTATAAATGCTCCAAGTTACACACATCCAAACTTACAAACTGGCCACTTAGTAACCAAAGTTTTACAACCTCTGAACCATAGTACAAACATAAGTAAGCTATAACTATCCTTTGTACTATTGTTTTCTATAGGTGCAATTTCGTAAGCTGATAACCTGGGAACTCATCTTAATTGTATGTCGAGGACTTTCCACACCCATACCACAGAGCTGCTGCTTTCAACACTTCCATAAGGAATAAATTGGATAATGTGTTTTGCACAACAACATCATAGTCTAAATTTTGCTTAATCACTTCATTTATTCAGCAGAACAAATCAGATTTATATGAATGTGGTGAGGGTTAATTAAATGACAACTTAGCATTAGTACTTAGTTTTATTATTATTATTATTATTATTATTATTATTATTATTATTATTATTGTTGTTGTTGTTGTCTGAAATTTAAAATTAAGCATATTCATCTGGGCACCAGGAATTATATAACACCTAGTGCACTGAAATTAGCTGTCACCATGAAGTGTATATCACCTGGTGCCCTGTAGTTAGCTGTCACCAAGAAGATATACAGCATAGATAAAAATATCTAATCTTTACCAGACTGTCTCTTATTATGAAAGCCAGTAAATGTAAGTGCAGACTAGTTTTGTATCAAATACCATTTAAAAAAATGTAAATGGGTTAAATTGTTGTTATATTGGGATAGGAGAGGTACTGAATATAATGCACTTTATACAATTTGAGGAGACAAGCTGTGAGAGACCTAACCTCACTTATTTCACCATTGCTTTCTCTGGTCTCTTCAACCTCTTCAAGGGTGGCTCCTTGGCATGATGAAGAGGCTCTTGGTCTGAGGCATTAGACCTATTGGTCTCCTTCCTCAGACCGAACCTAATTACCCCCCCCCAATCCTCCCCTTCCATATACCATCCTCCCCATCCTCCCTTTTACCTTTCCTCCTCCTCCTCCCCATCCCTCCCTTATTTCCTTCCTCTTTTTGGCCTTTGGGATCCTTCCCACAGGCACGCTGGTTCCTAGGTAGGGGGAAGGGTACCGGAGTCCATCCCATTCCGTTGAGGTTCTTGGAATCTGGATCGCCTGGGGATGTCCCGATCCCTCTCCAGTCTCCCGGGGGTGGCTTTGGGTGTCTTTCGGGCAAAAGGTGTATCTCTGGAGGCTGCCTTTCGGATTCCAGGGGTGGTGGCCAAAGGAGGTATGCTTTGTGGCGGATATCCAGCCGCCCTCTCTTTTGTCCACCGACGTAGCTCAACAGATGTAAGGTTGCTATCCCAGATTGCTGGTTTACTGGCATGAAGGGTAGTGTATGGCACGGGTTCCATGCCGCATCTGCGCTACTTGCAGTGGTGACGTTCTCTTGAGCACAGAGGGAGATTTCGGGCCCTTTCATTCCTCCTAGGAACTATTCCTCCCCGTTCCCCCTTTTTTTATTTTTTTTTTATTATTTTCTTTTCTTCTTTCTTTTTGTTTTTTCTTAAAAACAAAAAGAAAGAAGTAACCTAACCATGGAGGACCCAATCCATAAACCTGCTACCCCCGGGCCCCTTCTTGATACCGCACCTCATTCTGACCCTGCCTCGTTTTTTGATCACTCTTAGGACACTTCTAATGTCACTGTACCTCTTGCTGGTGCTGTTTCATCACCTGCTTCAGGTACTGGCATTTCGACCGACTCCTTCGATTTGTCTGACCTCCACTCTCCTTTGACTGTGCTTCTGGCCTCTCCCTCTATGGTGCGGCAATTTTTGAATCGCCAGCCCATCCTACGTCTGACCAACTTCGGTCCCACTCCTAAATGCCAACGACAATTGCCTGATGATACTTCTTCGCCACCTTGTTCTACTCAGAAAAGACTGACACATCATGCACTCCCTTTCCACGCTCAGTTTTGGAATGCATAATGGACTAAATTCTTCACTTTACGACCGACTTCCTCTATTGCCTATCTTTCTGGCCATAGTATTGGCAAGGCACTCTTACACCATGTTGGTCGAGATATTTCCTTTTATGCTCTCAAGAGTGGTACACGCATCATCAGTGTCCAGAATGCTACCCAAGCTCATGATCTCTCTCTTCTTTCACATATCAATACTATTCCTGTCACTATCGAAAAACATCATTCTGCCCCATACCATAGTCCAACAGAATTTCCAGACATGTGGCGATGACATTCTCGAACAGCTGGAACTCCAAGATCTCCCAGCCCTCAAAGTAGATACTTATGTCCTTCCTGCCCACGGGCGGAGATGATACCCTTGCAATGTAGCTCGATTGACTTTCAACAGCCATGAACTCCCATCCTCTGTTTATGTAAGCAGGACATCATTACAAGTTCGAAAGGTCATCCCTACACTGCAACAGTGTAGAAATTGCTGGCGATTTGGTCACCCAGTGAAATATTGCGGATCTATAGCCGAATACCCAGTCTGTGGTCCCGATGACCATTCTAATACATCTTGTAGTCGGCCTCCCTCTTGCCTTAATTGTCATGAGGCTCACCCTTCTTGCTCTCGCCGTTGCCAGGTCTACTTAAATGAGCGGGAAATCAGGTTTCCCTTATGCTATGGGGTCCCATCTTCTGCAGCCTCCTCTGTGGTTACCCCTTCCATAGTCACTCCTGTCTCTAATTCTTTTGCTGCCCTGGGCTCAGAAGTCCCTACCTCAACACCTTGATCTGTTCTCACTTTTTTGTGTTCTCCCTCACAAGCCCCGGTATCGACAAGACCTCGTATGATACTTCCTCCCAATTGCCCATCTACTTCTCAGAAGTCCAAAAAATCCCCATTGTTCAAACCTTTAACCCCTCATTCCCTTTTTCCACCTCCTCATTTTACCTTTCCAGTCTCTGTACCTGGTTCTTTCCCTCTAACTGGCTCTGTTACAAGTGTGGAGGTTCACCCTCCACCTCGTACTGTGCCTTCCTCCCCTGTCCCCTCCCAAGTTTCTTCCTCTTCTGCCACCTCCCAGGTTTTTGCATTTTGCAGACAGTATTCAAATTCAAATTCAAATTCAAAGTTTATTCTCTATAAGGATTACAATGCTGAGTTTACAGAATTTGGTTTTTGTGTGGTTTACATGTAGTAAAATAATAATTACAGAGTGTACCACTAGAAGACCTAGCATGGCTAGGCATTTCGGGCAGACTTAGATTAAATCTTAAATTTAAAATATTACAAATTATGAGGTAAGTAGGTATTATGGCTAAGTGACTAAATACTAGTTTGTGAGTTTAGCAATGTGAATGCTTTTGTTTTGGCACAATACATAGTTTCAGTATTGGAGTATCACAGGCCAACTTTTGACTAGTTAGGATTCATTATTTTAAGATTGAGATTGATATTTCTGTTTATGGTCAAATGGGTGAGTGAGTGTAAGTGTGAACCACCAGGTGGTATTCGTGTAATTAGTTGAGGGGTGTATCAGGGAGATAAGATGTTTTCTAATGGTAGTTTTGAAGGTGATGAATGTGTCTGCAGTTCTAGAGTTTTCAGGTGGGGTGTTCCGGATTTTAGGGCCTTTGACATACATTGAATTTTTGTAAAGGTTTAGTCAGACACAGGGAATGTCATAGAGATGTTTGTGTCTGGTGTTATGCCTGTGGGTTCTGTCACAACTATCAAGAAAGCGTTTTAGGTCAAGGTTAATATTGAAATTTAAGGTCCTGTAGATGTAGATTGCACAGTAGTAAGTGTGGATGTACTGAACAGGGAGTAAGTTTAGATCTATGAAGAGTGGGGGGGTGTGTTGCCAGGGATGGGATTTAGTGATTATTCTTACTGCGGCTTTTTGTTGGGTTACTATTGGCTTTAGGTGTGTTGCTGCAGTTGAACCCCAAGCACAGATAGCATAGGTGAGGTATGGATATATAAGTGAATGGTATAGTGTGAGAAGGGCAGTTTGCGGTATCGTATCTTGGAGAGGATCCCAACCGTCTTGGATACTTTTTTGGTTATGTGTTGGATATGGGTGCTGAAATTCAGGTTGTTGTTGAGGTATAGGCCTAGGAATTTGCCCTCATTATGTCTGGCAATTAGAGTGTTGTCGATCTTAATGTTAATTTGTGCAACTCCTGCTCTGCTACCAAACATAATGTAGTAGGTTTTGTCAGTGTAAGTGTAAGCGTAAGTTTATTGGCTGTCATCCAAGTCGATATTTTGATCACCTCCTCGTTAACAATGGTGTTGAGGGTGGCAAGATTAGGGCGAGAGATGACATAAGTCGTGTCGTCAGCAAAGAGAATGGGGTTCAGGTGTTGAGATACGTTTGGAAGATCATTGATGTATATGAGCAAGAGCAGGGGACCAAGGACACTTCCCTGCGGAACTCCAGTATCAAGTGGCCGTGTTGTTGATGCTGTGTCTTTAATGGTGACATACTGATACCTATTAGTAAGGTAAGATTTGAAATATGCAAGTGCATGGCCTCTTATACCATAATGGTCAAGTTTGTGGAGTAGGATGCCGTGGTCTACTGTGTCAAAAGCTTTTCTTAGGTCAGTAAAAATTCCTAGTGGATATTTTTTTGTTTTCCAATGCTGCGTAAAGCAGATCTAGCATTTTTATGATTGCATGGTTAGTGCTTTTATTTTTCCTGAATCCAAATTGGCAGGGGTTGAGTATGTTTTGTGCCGTTATAGTCTCCTGTGCACGAGTTTCTCAAAGATTTTGGATAGCAATGGTAAGTTTGATATTGACCTATAGTTGTTTAAATCTGTAGGGTCACCACCTTTATGTATTGGTGTAACCCTTGCCGTCTTGAGTAGTTTCGGGAAGGTGCTAGTTTCTAGTGACTTGTTAAAAAGTAATGAGATAGCATGCGAAAGAACATGGGCCGCTCGCTTGTACAATAATGGTGGGACATGAGACAGATTCCCTGAGTTATTTTTAAGTGACTTTATAATCTCGGTGACTTCCGTGGGCTCAGTTGGTGCAAGATAGAAGGAATTTGGGAAATTCCCATCTAGGTAGTCCCCGGCATGGGCATTGGTACGTGGTATTGTGGGAGAGGAGGCACCAATGTGAAAAGAGACAGTCTCCCTACGATCCCCATTGGGGAGGGGAACCTTTAGTCTGCATCACTTCACGATGCATTACTCTAACGGGGTAAAGATCAAACCAGCGAGTGGGACAGTCAGTGACTCGTCTAAACTAGCACTTGCAGCTGTTGTTAGTGGCAGACTGCAAGTCAAATGTAATGCGATTTTATCGCTCAAAGAAGCCTTTGTTGTCGTCTGTTCAGACGACACAGAGGCCGAGAAACTACTTACTACTACTGCTACTACCACTCTACGAGACCAGGGATTTCATGTCTTGACTTCCCCAGCTCTGAGGGCCAGGAGAACTGTGTTCCTCAAGTGACTCGACAACCTCATCACTGCACAGGCCACTGAAGAAATCAAGTCATCTATCGAAGCACAGAACCCTTGGGCCAAGGTGGACTTCATTACTAAAATACCCAATGCTTCATCCATGCTGAAGGTCACCTTCAGTGACGTCGTCAACATGGCAGCCAGAGCTCTCACCGAGGGCCTGGCTATTCACTACTTTCACATCAACCCAACCTTCATTGAAATAGAGAAATTCCAACAAATCTCACAGTGCTATAATTGTTACTCACACACACCACAAAAGATTGCCCTACCAAGGACAAAAAGTTCTGCTGCACCTGCTGCCGTGAAGGTCACGACTTCAAGAATTGCACTACTGCCTCACCACCCAAATGCTTGAACTGCAAGAATGACCACCATACTCTGGCTGCCAGATGCCCTACCAGAAGAGACATACTCAAGAAACAACAACAACAAAAGAAGCCCAACCCACAAATAACCACATATTCTGCTATCGCCAAGCTTCAAGCAGACACTACCAAGATACTACAAGCCACACAAGCTGCTCCCACCACTTCCCTACCAGCACCTACTGTCGACTCCACCAAGATTCTTTATTGCATTTTGTATGCTCATGTACAGAATGTAGATGAGCCTGGTTCCTTCAACACCACCATCAATGAACTCTTCAAACTCAACAATATGCCTGGTTTTACATTCCCTGCATCCCCACCTTCCACTGAGGTCATAAAATCCACTGCTAATGTCTCCAACAACACCATTGCTACACAGTTACCACAAGCTTCACTCGACATAGAGATGGACCAATCAGAGACCACCGAGACACCGGAAACTCCCACCAATGAGAGTTCACCACCACCTGCACCCACTGCTAGTGCAACTGACCAATCAGAAACCTCACCTCCATCAGTCCAGCCACCAGCCAAGAAAGCGAAAACACAAGACACTGGGAATGCATCTCCCTGTGCCACTGCCACTGCTACACCACAAGACGAAGCCCAAGCCTTAGGTGGTGTATATGTACTTCTATACAACAAACCAGTACAAGAGCACAATGCAGACTTCGGAATTTAAACAGCGGCTCCACGATGGAACAGTCAAATACACCTTCGACCCAAATACTTCATACACCACTGAAGCCCTGGACAGAGTACTCACTCCACACTGCCTTGTGGCAATCGACTACACATCAAGGAAGAAATTCAGGACACTCCAGAATGGGTCCCTTGAAGACGGTACCCTCCTCTAGCATGACAATCTACGAACGCTCACCACGAAGATAAGTTTCCCCAGCACTTTGCGGCCCGCTAAAGCTGGGGTGTGGCTCCAATCGCCCCTGTAATTACTGCCTCTGCCCGCCTGCACTTCTGAAGCAAGAAGACACTTCCCTCCTGGGAAGTCAATGCAAGATAGAAGAAGACATCCTCCAACCGGAGGGCCTAAGAAAGAAGAAAGATGAACGTCACCCTCCACCCGGGGGGCCACCGCCGGGTCACCATCTGGAGAAGACCCGGGCCGGAAGTACCAGCGAATGAACATGAATGAATGAACCAGTGTGAAACAAAATGCTACTTGGTAAGCTGAAAGCGGGGTTCAATGATAAGTCTTCGGAGGCTTCTTACTTTGTTTGCAAAGTCATGGTGGGTACACAGGCTTGTATGTTTGTGTCCATGGCCCAGGAGGAAGAGAGGAGTGGACACTTATTGGCTGAGTGAAAGGTGTCGCCAGAGTGAGAGCAAGTGGGACCAGCATCCCACTGACCTGGGCAGGCCTAGAGAGGGCAGCACCTGAGTGCCGTGAAATATAAACTAAGCTGGCAGACAGCATAGGCTGTGTAGACAGTACAGGCTGTCTACACTTTTCTGTCCCCTCCCACACTACTTCTCCAGTTCCCTCCACCCTTTCGTCCCCCCTTACTTTGGTACAGTCCATTACTGTCCCAGTCTTTACTCGCCCTCCTACTTCCATCTCCAATATTGCCTCCCATACAACGTCTTTGAATTCTGAAACACTTGAAGCTATCTCAGAATATATTGCAGAGACTAAACCATCAATGGACACTGATCCACCCCCTGTTCCTTCTCTTTCTTCTCCTCCATCTGCGCAACTCCTTTCTTCGCAGCGCTCAGTTCCTTCACTTGAACATTTTCCACTGCTGCCACATGCGGACTTTTCTAACCCCTCTAGTCCATAGGTACCCTTACCTGTGGATTTCTGGTATCTTTATCATTGCCAATCATGGCCTATTTACAGTGGAATGTCCGTGGCCTCAGGGGTGAGCTTCAGATGTTGCTCTCTCGGTTTTTCCCTGTTGGTGTTTGCTTACAAGAACCAAAATTACACTCCGCTGTTATCTTTCCTATCTCAGGCTATAATTTATTGTATTCTTCAGATTCTTTTTCTGATGGGACCTTTATGAAAGTGCCCTTCTTCTACGCACTGATATTCCGTACCATCAGCTATTTGTTCATTCTTTGCTGCATTACACTGCATCCCGTATCCACTTGCATAAGTGGTATACAATCTGTTCTTTGTATCTCTCTCTTTCTCGGGCATTATCTATCCCGGATGTTGCCTTTCTTGTCTCGTCCTTACCACCACCACTTCTATTACTTGGAGATTTTAATGCTCATCATTTCCTCTGAGGGGGCCTCACTGTGATTCCCATGGCATTCAGTTGGAGGCATTTCTCGCTTCTCACCCCCTCCATGTTTTAAATACGGGTACTTCCACCCATTTTGATCCTCGTACTCGTACTCTCTCTTGCATCGATCTCTCGGTCTGCTCTTCCTCCACTGCACTAGACTTCACCTGGTCTTTTCTCCCGGACTTACATGACAGCGATCATTTTTCAATCATTCTTACTTCTCCTTCATATTCACCACCTCTTCATAGCCCACACTGGCAGTTTGATCAATCAAATTGGGACCTTTACTCACAACTAACTGCTTTTAGTGAGGCTCCTTCTTTGTCCTCCATTGATGAGCTTTTACACCTCTTGACCTCAGTTTTAACCACAGCTTCTCATTCTATACCCCAAACCTCTGGCAGGCATTCTCAGAAGTGCATGCCTTGGTGATCTGCCAGTTGTGCTTGGGCAGTACGTTTGAAACTCGCTGCGTGGGGCAGGTACCAGTACAATAGAACCACAGAGAGACTTCTTGATTTTAAGCAGAAGCGTGCGGTCGCTCGCCGTGTCATTCATGACGCTAAACGCACTTGCTGGCGAGATTGTTTCCACCATCACCTATGGACAGATATGTTGTGCGACAGAGGTCCAGTGACTCTCGAGCTGGTCCTAGTGGCATTAAAAGAAGAAGGGAAGTAACCCCGGAAAAGGACTTGCTCCCGCAAGTCCTAATGGAAGGGGATTTCCCTTCTAAACAATAACAACTTCCACACACACTCCTCCTCCCATCCCATCAATCATCACCAGATCGTCAATAAAGGTAAGTGTCATGTATTCTATTCTTAGTAGAGTAGTATTAACTGTGCATGTCTTCTTCAGTTTGTGTGTATTAAAATTAATGTTTCATGTGGTAAAATTTTTTTTTTCAGACTTTTGGGTGTCTTGCATGGATTAATTTGATTTCCATTATTTCTCATGGGGAAAATTAATTCGCCTTACGATAATCTCGGCTCACGATGAGCTCTCAGGAACGGATTAATATTGTAAGGCAGGGGTCTACTGTATGCTCTCCCCGGACGTTGTCCAAGCTGAAGGTGTCCCCCAGGGATGTGTTCTGAGCACAACACTTTTTTCTCCTTGCTATAAATGATTTGGCCTCTTCTTCCGTCCAATATTTGGTCATCGCTCTGTGTTGATGACTTCGCTATAGCTTGTGCAGGCACTGACTGTCACCTCATTGCAGTTTCTCTCCAGCATGCGGTCAGCCGTGTTTCCAATTGGGCCACCATGCATGGGTTTAAATTTTTTCACAATACGTTCTGTCATCTCTGATCATTCTGTTGTACCTCTATAGCTCACGTATCACTGAACGTGATATGGTCAGGTTTCTAGGCCTGCTCTTTGACCGTAGGTTATCCTGGAAACCTCACATTACCTCTTTGAAGGCAACTTGTCACAGCCGGCTGAACCTTCTTAAAACCCTTGCTCATCTTTCATGGGGAACTGATCATCGAACTCTCCTTCGCCTACATTCAGCCCTCATTTTATCGAAACTCAATTATGGTGACCAGATCTATTCGGCGGCCTCTCCAGCTACTCTCTCTAGCCTTAATCCCATCCATCACCAGGGATTACGTTTATACCTTGGTGCTTTTAGCTCTTCACCTATTGAGAGTCTCTATGCAGAAGCGAATATTCCATCCTTGTCCGATCGCCGTGTTGCCCATTGCCTTTGCTACTATGTTCGCTCTCGTGATCTCCACAATCCTTCTATATGTAGAATAGTCCCTGATGTTAGTAGACATTCTTTATTTGTTCGTCGCCCCTGTTTGCTCCATCCCTTTTCTCTTCGCCTACATTCACTCTTGTCTTCCCTTCAGTTACCACCTTTCTATGTTCATGTAGCATCTCACTTTTCCCTACCCCCTCTGGGAAGTTTCAGCTGTTCGTGTCTGTTCTTTCTCACTCTCTTGCGCGAAAGCCCAACTGCCTAGCATTTTTACTGCTGAATTGTATGCCATTCTTGCAGCACTTATCCGTATTGCATCTATGCCTCTGTTGTCATTTGTGGTTGTTTCAGACTCCCTTAGTGCTTTACAGGCTATACGGAAATTTGATGCACTTCACCCCCTAGTTCTCCGTATCCAACTTTGGTTACACCGTATCTCTACCAAGCATAAAGATACGTACTGTTTTTTGTTGGGTCCCTGGTCATGTTGACGTACAGGGCAATGAGCAGGCAGACACTGCTGCACGGTCAGCAGTACATGACCTTCCAGTTTCATATAGCGGTGTTCCATTCACGGACTATTTTGCTGTAATTACTACCCACCTTCACACCCATTGGCAACAACGTTGTTCTGATCTGCTCAGTAGCAAACTTCATTCTATTAAATTGAGTATAAGTATACTCTCCCGTCTTTGCATTGGCCACACTCGTCTTATTCACGGGTATCTCGTGGAGAGGCGCCCTGTTCCTCTCTGTAAGAATTGTCAGGTTCCAGTATCGGTTAGCCATATTCTGTTACTGCCCACTCTATCAGTGAGCATGCAGAATTTACCTCCAATGTCATCTCTGCTCTGCTGCTCTCTCTTTACCTTCTCTTCTTGCTGATGGACCCTCCTTTAATCTGGACTCTCTTGTTGACTTTTTGACAACTGATTTACTCCACAAACTCTGATGATACCTTTAGCACTCCCCTTAGCCCTTTCTACCCCAGTCTCTTGCTACCCTCTACCCCTGCACTATCCACTGCCCCGCTGTGCTCCGTAACCTACTAATCATCCCTCTCCCTTTTGTCACCTGATACCCTCGCTTCCTTCCCTGCCCTGCAGCACTGTATAGCCTTTGTGGTTTAGCGCTTCTTTTTTATTATAATAATAATAATAATGGTCTCTTCAAGGATGTTGCACCGGGGCTGGTGAAATGCTCTGGATTCTAGGAGTTGAAGCTATTCTTCCCTTGGATTAAATGCGATTCCCTTCCATTTCCCAGGTTCTGTATGACTCCTACAGGTTGAGAATTTCCCCTATGATTATAAAAATACTCTGTGGTGTGTCTGCACTGTACTTAATATTGCAATCAGCACACTCATTACTAGAAGCAAACTTTTTATCATATTTAAATATGTTGAATATTAAAGTGAGTCAAGCAGATGCCTAGTCTGCATGAATATATAATTGTTACATTCATCAAGGGGTAATTATGAACTACAGTATAAATGTATGTAATCCAGGAATTTATTACTGATAAAATTTATTTGAATATATATATTTCAATGTTAAATGCATTTTATTTTGCAAATGTATAATTTTGTCCAGAAAAGTTAATGAAGTAAATTGTATTTACAGAAGTAATTGCTGTATGACCCTTTCATATTTAGTGCTTGCCTTTATCATTTTAATAATAATGGTTATAATCTGCATAGTTTTACATTAATTTTAAGACTGTAAAGTGTTGTTCTGAATTTCATTTTCGGTATGTTTGCCTAATCCATGTGATCAACAGTTGTGTTATATTAAAAATACTCTTCTCGCCTAGCCACAGTACTCACTCTTGTAGAGAAATTTAGACAATACCGTAAGACTTTGCAGACTGAATACTTTTTCATAAATTTCTAGATGCTTGAGAAATATCTACTATTATGGAGTGTCAAATTTTATTTTTTTCATTTTTTTTTTTTTTTTTTTTTTTTTTTTTTTTTTTTTTTTTTGTTATGAAAATATGACTAGTAATTTTTGGTTAATTTCTCTGAAAAGTCCTAATGATTTTGTTCAGTTCCTTATAAATGTCTTCTTTTTAACATCATATTGTTTCTCTATTCACCTGGAAAAAGTCAGCAAAGTGAGGAACCATGCACAGTCCACAGCTTCATGTCCACCCATGGCCACCAAAGACAGAGTTTCAAGTGAATGTATGGTATTTTCTTCAAGAGGAAGAAATCTCCACAAAACCAGCTATAGAATTTTTTTTTTTTTTTTTTAATTTACTCAATTGCTTTACTGGATTTTGTAAATTTAGCTTGGATAAAATTCAGTACTAAAACCTGCCATGGAGTCATTTAAAAAATACACTTAATGAATTTACGTAGATTTCTATGTATCTGTTCTTTTATTTATTTCAGTTAATGGCCAACTTAAAGCTTTTATTTTTAGTAAGCTGTATGGGAAAAGGGGTTACTAGCCCATTGCTCCTGACATTTTAATTGACTTTTACAACACACATGGCTTATGAAGGAAAAATTCTTATTCCACTTCCTCATGGATATGAAAGGAAAATAATAAGAACAAGAACTATTAAGAAAAAACAAAGAAAACTCAGGTGATTGTGTATACATAAATGTGTACATTCATGTGTAGTGTGACCTAATTGTAAATAAAAATAGCAAATTTTTTTCTTTTTAAATTAATGGCATTAGAATCACAAAATAAACAAAGCAAAGGTCAGTGATGGTTCAGTACTTGCATGTGAGCCAAGGGGAGCTGTCAGAGGCCTGTTTCACAATGATTTATTTATTGCATTTCACTGAGAGTTTACTAGCATTCTAATGAGTATATTGTAGGAAAACATTTTATGTTTTATAAAAATTCACATTCAGTAGTTTTTATGTTGTAGAACAACTTCCAGCAAGCGTGCGTGAGCGTGTTAAAAATGAATGGAGATGAATGGTTTTTGGGACCTGACGAGCTGTTGGAGTGTGAACAGGGTAATATTTTGTGAAGGGATTCAGGGAAACTGGTTAGCCAGACTTGAGTCCTGGAAATGGGAAGTACAATGCCTGCACTTCAATTATCTAAGGAGGGGTTTGAGATATTGGCTGTTTGGAGGGATGTCTAAGCTGTCGTACCTGAGCGCCTTTGTAAAGACAGTGCTTATGTGTGAGTGATGGTAAAAGTGTTAATAAGTAAGTAAGTAAGTTTATTCAGGTATACACAAATACAGTTACATAGAATTATCATACATAGCAGCATATGTGTAGAGAACCTAGGATAACCCAAAAAAGTCAGACAGAGTGACTTATTTCCATTGGGGTCCTTTACTTATTTCCATTGGGGTCCTTGAATGATGATGTTGAATGTTGAATGATGAAAGTTTTTTCTTTCTTTTTGGGCTTTTCTTTGTTTTTGGGTCACCCTGCCTAGGTGGGAAACAGCCGACGTGTTAAAAAAAAAAAAAATTTTGTTATGGATTTGTTTTAATGTTTATTAGTTAAAAAACTTTTTTCATGCATTAATGCCATTTTCTATGCACCAAATATGGTCAGATATGCTTGCATTTGTGAATAAAATGTAAAATGTTTTTCCATATGCTCACTCCTCATTCAGTGTTATTTTTTACACTATTTCTTATCTTTGTGGCTTTATTTTGTATCCTTTGGTCACGGACAATTTTGTCCTTATGTTGACTTTATCAAATTAAAGTTTTTATTGTGTTCTGTTTTCCTCTCAGAAATCTGCAGTTTTATAACCTGCTGCCACTGGTATGGTGCACATGCTTCAGATGTTTGTGATAGTACCAGGGCTTTTTAGATGGACTACACTACATATACATATACAGTATAGGTAAATAAACTTTTAACGAAAGTTACATAAATTATAGCTCAGTATTAGAGTTTGCAGTATTGGAAAAAGTTTACAGTAATGAAATCATTCATATACAATAGGGTCTTAGGCCTAATTTAATCAAATATTATAATTTTTACTGTATACTATCTGTATGCTGTATATAATTTTTTTTTTTAAACTGACATTTTTCCCGCCATGGTCAGGTTGCCGAAAGAAAATTTACTGGCCATCACTTGTTCTCTATGTGCCTAAACTTTGGCTTTGCTCTTTAGCACACCGGCCTACATTTCACACTTAATTTTCATCTGAAATCAGCACCCTTCCACCATGTAGCATTGAAAGATCCACATGGGTCTTCTTGAGGTAAATGTTCAGAAGGATACAGATTTCCATCTCATGCTGGGTAACGTTGGTCATTGAGACTACCTGCTTTACATAGGCCTGGCGCTGTGCACATGTAGTCGCCTAAACACTGTTCACATACTTCAATGCATAATTATCTGACCTGGTACCTAGGCATAATATCCCCTGCACTGTGTGTGGCACTTGTGTTAGGGAGGTGAAGAGGTGTAAACTAAACTCAGTTACAGAATGCTTTCATTTTAAATGAATTTTTGCATGATTTTGAAATTAATCTCCTCTTCAAGGGGGGCTCCTTGGCGTGGTGAAGAGGCTCTTGGTCTGAGGAATTAGACCTGTCGGTCTCCTTCCTCAGACAAAACCTAATTACCCCCCAATCCCCCCTTCCCTATCCCATCCTCCCCATCCTCCCCTTTTCCCTTTCCTCCTCCCCCTCCCCACCCCTCCCTTTTGCCCTTCCTCTTTTTGGCCTTTGGGATTTTTCCCACAGGCGCACTAGTTCCTAGGTAGGGGAAAGGGTACCGGGGTCCATCCCATTCCGTTGAGGTTCTTGGCGGTGGCGTAGTTTGCCGTGGAATCTGGATCGCCTGGGGATGTCCCGATCCCTCTCCAGTATCCCGGAGAGTGGCTTTGGGTGTCTTTCGGGCGATGGATGTATCTCTGGAAGCCACCTTTCGGATTCTGGGGGTGGTGGCCGAAGGAGGTATGCTTTGTGGCAGATATCCGGCCGCCCTCTCTTTTGTCCACCGAGGTAACTCGGCAGATGTGAGGTTGTTATCCCGGATTGCTGGTTTACTGGCATGATGGGTAGGGTATGGCACGGGTTCCATGCTGCATCTATGCTACTTGCGGTGCTGAGGTCCTCTTGGGCGCGGAGATAGATTTCTGGCCCTTTCATTCCTCCTAGGAACTATCCCTCCCCGGTCCCCCCCTTTTTTTTTATTCTTTGTTTATTTTTATTTTCTTTTCTTTCTTTTTTTTTCTTAAAAACAAAAAGAAAGAAGTAACCTAACCATGGAGAACCCAATCCATGAACCTGGTACCCCCGGGCCCCTTCTTGATACCGCACCCTGTTCTGACCCCGCCTCGTCTTTGGACCACTCTTCGGACACTCCTCATGCCTCTGTACCTCTTGCCGGTGCTGTTTCCTCACCCGCTTGAGGTACTGAGCTCTCGACTGACTCCTTTGATTTATCTGACCTCCACTCTCCTTTGACTATGCTTCTGGCCTCTCCCTCTACGGTGCGGCAATTTTCGAATCGCCAGCCCATTCCACGTCCGACCAACTCTGGTTCCCTGCCTAAACGCCAACGACAATTACCTGCTGATGATACTTCTCCACCTTCTCGTTCTTCTCAGAAAAGATCGACACGTACTGCACTCCCTTTCCACGCTCAGTTTCAGACTGCACAATAGATTAAATTCTTCACTTTACGACCGACTTCCTCTACCGCCTATCTTTCCGACCACAGTGTTGGCAAGGCACTCCTATGCCATGTTGGTAAAGATATTTCTTTTCATGCTCTTAAGAGCGGTACGCGCGGTGGTCTGGTGGTGGCCCGGTGGTCTGGTGGCTAAAGCTCCCGCTTCACACACGGAGGGCCCGGGTTCGATTCCCGGCGGGTGGAAATTCCGACACGTTTCCTTACACCTGTTGTCCTGTTCACCTAGCAGCAAATAGGTACCTGGGTGTTAGTCGACTGGTGTGGGTCGCATCCTGGGGGACAAGATTAAGGACCCCAATGGAAATAAGTTAGACAGTCCTCGATGACGCACTGACTTTCTTGGGTTATCCTGGGTGGCTAACCCTCCGGGGTTAAAAATCCGAACAAAATCTTATCTCTATCTTATCATCACGGTACAGAATGCTACCCAAGCTCATGATCTTTCTCTTCTTTCCCATATAGATACTGTTCCTGTCACTATTGAAAAACATCATTCCCTCAATTCTTGTAGTGGTACCGTCATTCTGCCCCATCCCATAGTTCAACAAAATTTCCAGACATGTGGCAATGACATTCTTGAACAGCTGGAACTCCAAGATCTCCCAATCCTCAAGGTAGACACTTATGTTCTTTCTGCCCGCGGGCGGAGACGATACCCTAGCAATGTGGCTCGTTTAACTTTTGACAGCTGTGAACTCCCATCCTCAGTTTATGTAGCAGGACATTGGTTACAAGTTCGAAAGGTGATCCCTACACCGCAACAGTGTAGAAATTGCTGGCAATTTGGCCATCCAGCGAAATATTGCAGATCCATAGCCAAATGCCCGGTCTGTGGTGCCGATGACCATTCTAATACGTCTTACAATCGACTTCCCTCTTGCCTTAATTGTCATGAGGCTCACCCTTCGTACTCTCGCCGTTGCCAAGTCTACTTAAATGAGCGGGAAATCTGTTACCTCAAAGAGGCAGAAGGTCTCCCTTATGCCATGGCAGTTTCTCATCTCCGCCTCCAAGGGAGACTACCTCGTGTTTCTTATTCCCGTGTTTCAAAACGTCCCCCCACTTCTGGGGTCCCATCTTCTGCAACCTCCTCTGTGGTTACCTCTCCCATAGTCACTCCTGTATGTAATTCTTTTGCTGTCCTAGGCTCAGACATCCCTACTTAACGCCTCGGTCTGTTCTCGTTTCTTTGAGTTCTCCCTCACAAGCCTCAGTATCGACGAGACCTCGTACGACACTTCCTCCCAATCATCCCTCTACTTCTCAGAAGTCAAAAAAAAGGTCCTTTAACTCCTCCTTCCCTTCTTCCACCTCCTCATTTTACCTTCCCTGTCTCTGTACCGGGTTCTTCCCCTCTCACTGGCTCTGTTACAAGTGTAGAGGTTCACCCTCCTCCTTGTACTATATCTACCTCCCCTGTTCCCTCCCAGGTTTCTGCCTCTTCTGTCCAGTTCCACGCTTCTTCTCCAGTTCCCTCCACCCTTTCGCCCCCCCCCCTACCTTGGTACAGTCCATTACAGTTCCAATCTTTACTCATCCTCCCCCTACCATCTCCAATATTGTCTCCCGTGATGTCTCTGAATTCCGAAACACTTGAAGCAATCTCTGAATATATTGCAGAGACCAAACCATCAATGGACACTGATCCACCCTCTGTTCCTTCTCTCTCCTCTCCTCCATCTGCGCAACTCCTTTCTTCACAGCGCACCGTTCCTTCGCTGCTTGAACGTTTTCCGCTGCCTCCGCATGTGGACTTTTCTAACCCCTCTAGTCCATAGGAACCCTTACCTGTGGATTTCAAGTATCTTTATCATTGCCAATCATGGCCTATTTACAGTGGAATGTACGCGGCCTCAGGGGTAATCGGGGTGAGCTTCAGGTGTTACTCTCCCAGTTTTCCCCTGTTGGTGTTTGCTTACAGGAACCAAAATTACACTCTGCTGTTATCTCTCCCATCTCAGGCTATAATTTATTGTATTCTTCAGATCCTTTTCCTGATGGGACCTTTAATGAAAGTGCCCTTCTTCTACGCACTGATATTCCGTACCATCAGCTATTTGTTCGTACTTCGCTGCATTACACAGCAGCCCGTATCCACTTGCATAGGTGGTATACGCTTTGTTCTTTATATCTCTCTCCTTCTTGGGCATTATCTATTTATCTTGTTTTGTCATTACCACCACCGATTCTGTTACTTGGCGATTTTAATGCCCATCATTTCCTCTGGGGGGGGGGTCTCACTGTGATTCCCGTGGCATTCAGTTAGAGGCTTTTCTTACCACCCACCCCCTCCATGTTTTAAATACAGGTACTCACACCCATTTTGATCCTTGGACTCACACTCTCTCTTGCATCGATCTCTCAGTCTGCTCTTCCTCCGCCGCATTAGACTTCACTTGGTCTGTTCTCCCGGATTTACATGACAGCGATCATTTCCCAATCATTCTTACTTCCCCTTCATATTCACCACCTCTTCGTATCCCATGCTGGCAATTTGATCAGGCAAATTGGAACCTTTACTCACAACTAACTGTTTTTAGTGAGGTTCCTTCTTCGTCCTTCATTGATGAGTTTTTACACCTCTTCTCGCCCTCCGTTTTAACAGCAGCTTCTCATTCTATACCCCAAACTTCGGGCAGGCATTCTCAGAAATGCATGCCTTGGTGGTCTACTGCTTGTGCTCGTGCAGTATGTTTGAAACGCGCTGCATGGGGCAGGTACCAGTACAATAGAACCACGGAGACACTTCTTGGTTTTAAGCAGAAGCATTGCGATCGCTCGCCGTGTCATCCGTGATACTAAACGCACTTGCTGGCGAGATTGTGTCTCCACCATCACCTCTACTTCCTCTATGAGTGCAGTCTGGAAAAAAGTACGAAAACTGAGTGGTAAATATTCTCCTGACCCGGCTCCTGTTCTGCGGGTTGCCGGTGTTGATATAGCAAACCCACTAGATGTTGGCAATGAAATTGGCAATCATCTGGTCCGTATTTCTCAGGGGCTCCATCTATGCCCCTCGTTTCTTTCCTCAAAGTCTGCCAGAGAGTTAGCACCCTTGGACTTTTCTTCTCTCAGAGAAGAACAGTATAACGTGCCTTTTACACTTCAAGAACTGGAGGCAACACTCTCAGCTTGCCGATCATCGGCAGCTGGGCCCGACGACATTCATATTCGTATGCTACAACATTTACATCAGTCAGCCCTTGCAGTCCTATTACGCCTTTTCAATCTCATTTGGTCACAAGGAGTTCTTCCACAGCGTGGAAATCTGCCATTGTTCTCCCTTTCTGCAAACCAGGCACTACGGGACATGAAGCCTCCCACTATCGTCCCATTGCTCTTACCAGTGCAGTTTGCAAAATGATGGAACGCCTGGTAAATAGACGTTTAGTGTGGTATTTAGAGACACACAACAGTCTCTCCACTCGTCAATATGGCTTTCGTAAGGGACGTTCTACCATAGACCCCTTACTACGCTTGGATACGTATGTTCGTAATGCCTTTGCGAATAACCACTCAGTTATTGCCATATTTTTTGACCTTGAGAAGGCATATGACACAACTTGGAGGTATAATATTTTGGCCCAAGCCCACTCCTTAGGCCTCCGAGGCAATCTACCATCCTTCCTTAAGAACTTTTTAACTGATAGACATTTCCGTGTTCGGGTTAATAATGTGCTCTCCCCGGACTTTATCCAAGCTGAAGGTGTCCCCCGGGGATGTGTTCTGAGCACAACACTTTTTCTCCTTGCTATTAATGATTTGGCCTCTAGTCTTCCATCAAATATTTGGTCATCACTCTATGTTGATGACTTCGCTATTGCCTGTGCAGGCGCTGACTGTCACCTCATTACAGTTTGTCTCCAGCATGCAGTCGACCGTGTTTCCAATTGGGCCACCACACATGGGTTTAAATTTTCCAGCACTAAAACCCACCAAATTACTTTCACTAGACGCTCTGTTATCTCCGATCATCCTTTGTACCTCTATGGCTCCCGTATCCCTGAACGTGATACAGTCAAGTTTCTGGGCCTCCTCTTTGACCGTAGGTTATCCTGGAAACCTCACATTACCTCTCTGAAGGCAACTTGTCACAGCCGGCTGAACCTTCTTAAAACCCTTGCTCATCTTTCATGGGCAGCTGATCGTCGAACCCTCCTTCGCCTACATTCCACCCTCATTTTATCGAAACTTGATTATGGTGACCAGATCTATTCAGCGGCATCTCCTGCTACTCTCTCTAGCCTTAATCCCATTCATCACCAAGGATTACGTTTATGCCTTGGTGCTTTTCGCTCTTCCCCTGTTGAGAGCCTCTATGCAGAAGCGAACGTTCCATCCTTATCTGATCGCCGTGATGCCCATTGCCTTCGCTACTATGTACGCTCTCATGATCTCCGCAATCCTTCCATTTATAGAATGGTCACTGATATTAGTAGACATTCTTTATTTGTTCGCTGCCCCTGTTTACTCCGTCCCTTCTCTCTTCCCCTTTATTCGCTCTTGTCTTCTCTTCAATTACCACCTTTCTATGTTCATGTAGAATCTCACTTTTCCCTACCCCCCTGGGAAGTTCCAGCTGCTCGAGTCTGTTCTTTCTCTCTCCCTTGCTCGAAAGCCCAACTGCCTATGGTCGCTTCCTGCTCTCTTTTTCTTGACCACTTCCACTCTCATTCTCATGCCATTGCTGTGTACACAGATGGCTCTAAGTCTTCTGACGGCGTAGGATTCGCAGGTCAGCAGTACATGATCTACCAGTTTCATGTGGAGGTATTCCATTTACGGACTATTTTGCTGCAATATCTTCACACCTTCACACCCGTTGGCAACAACGTTGATCTACTATGCTCGGTAACAAACTTCACTCTATTAAACCGAGTATAAGCTACTGGCCGTCGTCTTATCACCAGTGTCGAGGTTGGGAGACTACTCTCTCCCGTCTTCGCATTGGCCATACTCGTCTTACTCATGGATATCTCATGGAGAGGCACCCTGCTCCTCTCTGTGAGAATTGCCAAGCTCCATTATCAGTCAGCCACATTCTTTTGGACTGCCCACTTTATCAACGAGCACGCAGAATTTACCTCTGTCGTCGTCTTCGCTCCGTTGCTCTCTCTTTACCTTCCCTTCTTGCTGATGGACCCACCTTTCATCCGGACTCTCTCATTGACTTTTTGACAACAACTGACTTACTTCACAAATTCTGATACCTTCAGCCCTTTCTACCTCAATCTCTTGCTACCCTCTACCAAACATAAAGATATTGTTTTTTGTTCAGTCCCTGGTCATGTCGACGTACAGGGCAATGAACAGGCAGACACTGCTGCACAGTCAGCAGTACATGACCTACCAATTTCCTATTGAGGTGTTCCATTTCTGGACTATTTTGCTGCAATAGCTACCCACCTTCGCACCTGTTGGCAACAACGTTGGTCAACTCTGCTCAGTAACAAACTTCATTCTATTAAACCGAGCATAGGTTACTGGCCGTCTTCTTGTCATCAGTGCCGAGGTTGGGAGACCACTCTCTCCTGCCTTCGCATTGGTCACACTCGTCTTACTCATGGGTATCTCATGGAGAGGCACCCTGTTCCTCTCTGTGAGCAGTGTCAAGTTCCAGTATCGATTAGCCACATTCTGTTAGACTGCCCTCTCTATCAACGAGCACGCAGAATTTACCTCCAACGTCGTCTTCATTCTACTACTCTCTCTTTACCTTCCCTTCTTGCTGATGGACCCTCCTTTAATCCTGACACTCTCATTGACTTCTTGACAACGACTGATTTACTCCACAAACTCTGATGATACTTTTCGCACTCCCCTCAGCCCTTTCTAGTTCAGTCTCTTGCTGCCCTTTACCCTTTCACCATCCACTGCCCCGCTGTTATCCGTAACCTATTACTCATCCATCTCCCTTTTGCCACCTGATGCCCTCGCTTCCTTCCTGCCCTGCAGTGCTGTATAGTCCTTGTGGCTTAGCGCTTCTTTTTGATTATAATAATAATCTTGCTACCCTCTACCCCCGCACTATCCCCTGCCCCGCTGTTTTCTGTAACCTACTGATCATCCCTCCTCCCTTCTGCTGCCCAATACCCTCGCTTCCTTCCCTATCCTGCAGCGCTGTATAGCCCTTGTGGCTTAGCGCTTCTTTTTGATTATAATAATAATAATTGAAATTAATCAATTTTCCCTTTAATTTTTGTTATAAAATATTCAAAGGAAAAGGATTCCAGAAGAGCATGGGGCATACAGTGGATCATTTTATGTTCATTACCTCTGCACAAGTGTCCAAACCTAGAAATTTTATTCTGTATCTGTAACTACTAAATAAATTGTACATTATGACTTTGTCTTATGTTAATTTTTTTAACACACACGCCGTGTCCCACCAAGGTAAGGTGACCCATAAAAGAAGAAATACTTTCACCATCACTCACTCCATCACTGTCTTTCCAGAGGCATTTTGATACTACAGTCCAAAACTGCAAATATCCCCACCCCCTCCTTCAGAGTGCAGGCATTGTACTTCCAATCTCCAGGACTCAAGTTTGGCTAACCGGTTTTCCTGCATCCCTTCGTAATTGTTACCTTGCTCCCACTTCAACAGCATGTCAGGTCATAGAAACTACTTGCCTCCACTCCTATCTAACACACTCGTACATGCTTGCATGTATGAGCCCCTTGTATTCAAAACCTCCGTTACTTCCTTCCTCCATCCTTTCCTAGAATGGCCTATACCCAGCCTTCCCTCCACTACAGATTAATATGCCCTCCAATCATCCTATTTTGTTCCACTTCAACAACCCCTCCCCAACCCTCTGGATAATACTTTTAGTAACCTTGCACTTTCTAATCTCCAAGCTACAAATTCTCTGCATAATATTCACATCACACATTGTCCTCAAAACATGACACAATGCTGTATGACCCTGGTGGTTTAGTGCTTAGTTTTGATTATAATAATCAAAACATGACATCTCCACTGCCTCCAGCATCCTTACTGCAGCATTCATAACCTATGCTTTACACCCATATAAGAGCATTGGTACCACAATACAGGAGGGCCCCTATAGGTTCCAGGCTACAATTGTAAAGTGAAAAATCACTGTAAAGTGAATTATAACCTTTTTTCACTTTCAAATGCATATAAATGCGAGGGTCTTGGCAAGAGACGTGGAGTTAAAAGATAAAGAATCACACATAAAGTGGGAGTTGTCACAGTTGCTCTTTGCTGATGACACTGTGCTCTTGGGAGATTCTGAAGAGAAGTTGCAGAGGTTGGTGGATGAATTTGGTAGGGTATGCAAAAGAAGAAAATTAAGAGTGAATACAGGAAAGAGTAAGGTTATGAGGATAAAAAGATTAGGTGATGAAAGATTGGATATCAAATTGGAGGGAGAGAGTATGGAGGAGTTGAATGTATTCAGATATTTGGGAGTGGACGTGTCAGTGGATGGGTCTATGAAAGATGAGGTGAATCATAGAATTGATGAGGGGAAAAGGGTGAGCGGTGCACTTAGGAGTCTGTGGAGACAAAGAACTTTGTTCTTGGAGGCAAAGAGGGGAATGTATGAGAGTATAGTTTTACCAACGCTCTTATATGGGTGTGAAGCATGGGTGATGAATGTTGCAGTGAGGAAAAGGCTGGAGGCAGTGGAGATGTCATGTATGAGGGCAATGTGTGATGTGAATATAATGCAGAGAATTCATAGTTTGGAAGTTAGGAGGAGGTGCGGGATTACCAAAACTGTTGTCCAGAGGGCTGAGGAAGGGTTGTTGAGGTGGTTCGGACATGTAGAGAGAATGGAGCGAAACAGAATGATTTTAAGAGTGTATCAGTCTGTAGTGGAAGGAAGGCGGGGTAGGGGTCGGCCTAGGAAAGGTTGGAGGGAGGGAGTAAAGGAGGTTTTGTGTGCAAGGGGCTTGGACTTCCAGCAGGCATGCGTAAGCGTGTTTGATAGGAGTGAATGGAGACAAATGGTTTTTAATACTTGACGTGCTGTTGGAGTGTGAGCAAAGTAACATTTATGAAGGGATTCAGGGAAACCGGCAGGCCGGACTTGAGTCCTGGAGATGGGAAGTACAGTGCCTGCACTCTGAAGGAGGGGTGTTAATGTTGCAGTTTAAAAACTGTAGTGTAAAGCAACCTTCTGGCAAGACAGTGATGGAGTGAATGATGGTGAAAGTTTTTCTTTTTCGGGCCACCCTGCCTTGGTGGGAATCGGCCAGTGTTAATAAAAATAAAAAAAATAAAAGCCTGATAACATGTTTACACTATCATATAGTGAGTGAGTAATATAGCTAGGCCTAAAAAAAATGCATACACATTACACACATTACTTTAAAATATTTTCATCCTTAGCTTATAGTGAGTGGTGAATATAGTTATTGTAAGAAGTCTGAATAAATGGAGAATGGGTGTGATTGAAAACCACTCTATTAGCAAAATGTTGTAAAGCAAAGCTCTGTAAAGTGGGGCCTGCCTGTACTCTCAAACATTTTCCTTTTTACCTCCATGGATAACTTGTCTACACAGATGCCTCAATACACCATTCATCTTTTTCACCTAGTCAATTCTATGGTTCACCTTGTCTTCATTAGATTCATCTGCTGACAAAGTCCACTCCCAAATATCTGACCACATTCACTTCCTCCATACTCCCTCCAATCTGATACCCAATCTTTCATTATCTAAATTTTCTGTTATCCTCATCACCTTGCTCTTTCCTATGTTCACTTGAAATTTCCTCCTTTTACACCCAAATTTATCCACCAACCTTTCCAACTTCAGAATCTTCCAAACACTGTGTCATCTTCAAAAAGCAACTGTGACAATTTTCACTTTGTATTGGCTTCTTTATCTTTTAATCCCACATCTCTCCCCAACACTTCTCTTACAATCCCATCTATAACTATATTAACCATGGTGACATCACACATCCTTGTCTAAGGCCCACCTTTACTAGAAAGCAGTCTTCGTCTTTACTACATACCCTAACCTGAGACTCACTATCCTCATAAAAATTCTTAACTGCTTTCAGTAACCTACCACCTATTCCATACACTTGCAACATCTGCCACATTGCTCCCCTATCCACGGTATCATATGCTTTTTCCAAATCCATAAATGCAACGAAAACTTCTTTACTCATATCTAAATACTGTTTACATATCTGCTTCAATATAAACACTTGGTCTACACATTCTGTGCCCTTCTTAAAGCTTCCTTGTTCATCTGCAATTCTGTTCATCTTACCTTTAGTTCTTTCAAATAATAACTCTACCATATATCTTACCAGATATACTCAACAGGCTTATTTCCCTGTAATTCTTACACTTTTGTTTCCTTTGCCTTTATACAAAGGAACTATGCACACTGCCAGTCCCTGGGTACCTTCCCCTCTTTCATACATTTATTGAATAAAAGCACCAACCTCTCCAAAACTATATCCCCACCTGCTTTTAACACACCATCTTGATCCCATCAATCCCATCTGTTTTATCCTTTTATTTTACCCACAGCCTCACATATCTCCCCCACACTCATATTTAGTTCTTCCTCACTCCTAAAAGATGTTATAGCTCCTTGGTCAGTGCATGAAATCACTGCCTCCCTTTTTTTTTATCAAAATTGGACAGTTCCTCAAAATATTTCCTCCATCTTCCCAATACCTCCAACTCTCCTTTTGTGTTTTTAACTGTCAAATTCATTCATTCCTTAGACTTTCTCAGCTTATTTATTTCACTCCAAAACTTTTTCTAATTTTCAGCAAAATTTGTTGATAGCTCCTCACCCATTCTTTCATTTGCCTTCTTTTTACATTCCCTTAACACTCTCAATCAATGCAAGGCATCTGCCTACAGTTGAAATAAGAGAATTTTAACATTGAGGTAGTGCATTGGTAATACAGTGGTCCCCCGGTATTCGATGGCATCAGTATCCGTTAAATCCGGTATTCGATACATTTTAATGCAAAAATTTTGCCTAGCCACTCATTAAAAAACCCACCACACGCGATTCGTCCGAGACGTGTCCACGTGTGGCCTGAACTTCCCCGTGCGTGCCAGTGTTTACAAGCCAGCCAGTGTGCTCACATCTAAGTATACATTCAGTACATTCCATATTATCACAGTGTTTTTGGTGCTTGTTTCTGCAAAATAAATCACCATGGGCCCCAAGAAAGCTTCTAGTGCCAACCCTGTGGTAAAAAGGGTGAGAATTAGTATGGAAATTAAGAAAGATTTTGAAGGGTTTGGGGCTAATCCTGAGAAGCCTATGCCAGTTATGGAATCCATTGTGTCTACTTCAAAAATTAAGGAAATGTGTGCAAAGTGGGTTGAACTGCGAACCTTTATGGATGAAAATCACCCTAACACAGCTATTGCAAGCTGTGCTGGTGACTATTACAATGACAATGTTGTGGCCCATTTTAGACAAATTGTAAAGGAACGGGAGGTACAGAGCTCTATGGACAGATATGTTGTGCGACAGAAGTCCACTGACTCTCAAGCTGGTCCTAGTGGCATTAAAAGAAGAAGGGAAGTAACCCCGGAAAAGGACTTGCTACCTCAAGTCCTAATGGAAGGGGATTCCCCTTCTAAACAATAAGTTCGACACACTCCCCTCCTCCCATCCCATCAATCATCACCAGATCTTCATTAAAGGTAAGTGTCATGTATTCTATTGTTAGTAGAGTACTACAAACTGTGCATGTCTTCTTCAGTTTGTGTGCATTAAACTTAATATTTCATGTGGTAAAATTTTTCTTTTCATACTTTTGGGTGTCTTGCACGGATTAATTTGATTTCCATTATTTCTTATGGGGAAAATTAATTCGCCTTTCGATAATTTCGGTATTCAATGAGTTCTCAGGAACGGATTAATATCGAATACCGGGGGTCCACTGTATTTCAGAAGCTTTAGTGACTTTTTTTTTTGGGGGGGTGGGGGTGAAATATCATTTACAGTAGATACTGGGTCTTGAGACAGAGTTTGGAACCAATCCTTTCATTTTCTCTTCTGTATGATAAATTAGGTTCCCTCACAAAAACCTATTTACCAAATACTTCCAGACAAGGTTTCGACAAAGACACAAATGATTTGTTAAAATAGTTGAAATGTACATACAGTATTGACACACCTTATTATGTCTTGGTTTGGAGTACTGTAATATTGCTTTATTAGTAAAAGACAAATATTAATATCAGAGATCAGTTAGATTTTAACCCTTTCAGGGTTTCGGACGTACTAGTACGCCTAAGGTCTAGCGCCCTCAAATCTAGTGAGAGAAAGCTGGTAGGCCTACATATGATAGAATGGGTCTATGTGGTCAGTGTGCACAGTACAAAAAAAATCCTGCAGCACACAGTGCGTAATGAGAAAAAAAAACTGACCGTGTTTTTGGATTAAAACAGCAAATTTGCACTGTATTTTCGTATGGTATTTATGGTTGTATTCTAGTTTTCCTGGTCTCATTTTATAGAATGGAAGACACATTACAGAAATTGAGATGATTTTGACTAGTTTTACAATGAAAAGTGCCTTGCAATTGAGCTCAAAGTAGCAGAAATGTTCGATTTTTACCAAAGTTCAAACGTAAACAAATCATGCTAAGCGTCCAATACACGTCAACTGGCGAGTTTAATATTCTTTCACAAGTGCGCTGATATTATTTATACCATTTCTACACTAATGCAGTACTCTGCATAACAGTAAATCTTCTATTTTTTTGTGAGAATAAAAATTCAAAGTGGAAAGCAAAAGAATGTAAGAGGGGCGTGGGGACGTGACTATTGAACAGAAGAAATGCTATTTTAGTGTCAGGAATGTCTTTCTTGTTTATTATGGACCCTATTTGGAAATTGGCATCTTTTGAAATTTGTGTGAAATTGGCAAAATTGCTAAATTCTGACCACTGTATTGGATAGTTGAAATCGGTAAATGGGTGGTTTCTTGTACTCATTCAATAGAAAAAATGGAGTTCTAGCGAAATAGTTATGATTTTTGTTGACTAGTACACTGGAATTGGCCAAAAATAGGGCTCAAAGTGGGCAAAATTGCCGATGTGTAAACATCGTCGAGACCGCTAACTTCACGAGAGCATAATTCCGTAAGTTTTCCATCAGATTTCATACTTTTGGTGTCATTATGATCAGGAAAAGATTCTCTATTTTTTCATAAGAATTTTTTTTTTTTTTTTTGTTTTTTTTTGAAATTTGGGCGACCCTGAGAACAAGTCTGGGAGAGGGCCTGGGGACCCTGAAAGGGTTAAAGAAAGAATGGTACTTCAGTAACACTTATTGAAAGGAATTGCTTGTTGCAAATATAAAATGCTGTCTTTCTAGTACGACATGCAGAGCTTACATCTGTGTTATTAATTTATGAGTCAAATGTCAAACCCAAAGGGTTATACAAATGTCAGTTATATCATAGAAATCTATCTTATGGAAAAATTTTATCACGCCAAAAACAGTTGTCATACAAAAAAAGGAGTCATCCAACTAATAGGAGGTTCACATACAAATATAATTCTGATAGGAATATCATCCAACCACTGTCCAACCTTGACCTCATATTTCTGTCTTAACTCATCATCAGTAAGATATCCGGCAGCATCAGCTGAAAATCAATTACAGGCTTCTGTTTTACACTCAGCAGGGCGGTAGTACATACCTCCCTGGGCGGCTGCTGTCTACCAACCTACTACCTAAATACTCAGTATATATCTTGTTGTATTTTTATCACAATGCTGTATGACCCAGGTGATTTAGCACTTAATTTTGATTGTAATAATAATAATAATAATAATAATAATATATTTTTATCTGTAGTAAAGTAGTAAAACACTTCCTGGTTCAGTATTAAATTATATTAAAAGCAAAATACTTGTGCCATCTGATATTTTGTAAAATTATCTGTTTCCCACCAATACAGGGCAAGACAAAAGATAAAAAAAAAAAAAAAAAAAAAAAAAGATTCACCATCATTCGCTTACTAACAAGCTTTATAGATGCACATGAACATCAAGCCACTGGCCCATTACATCTTTCACAGTGCAACATGATATACTTACTATTTAATAGCCCATTTATGAGACATTTTAACTGCTGCTAGTGTGCAATATCTAGGTTTGTGTGGAGTAAATATATTCTGTTTACTGTATTGTGACCTTGTGTGCCACTGGTTTTCATTGTAGAATGTCATTATTTATAACTATATTACAGCCTCTCCTCACTTAGCGATGGAGTTCCGTTTCTAAGAACACGTCAGTTAATGCTTTCTTCACTCTTTAAGGAGCATGCTATAATGGTTAGTGGCTTAGTGTCAACCATATTTGATATTGTTTTAATGGCACCTTTGGCACCATTTATAACATTTCTGGAATATTTTTAAATGTTCATACAGTAGTGTACTGTATACTGTAATAAACAGAATAGAGGAAATCAACTATAACATGCATTATTTAGGTATAAATACTGGTCAGAGAGCCCATTGTAAGTCCGAGTTGTTGTCAAATGAGTATGTTGCTAAGTGAGGAGAGGCTGTATTTATATACAGCCTCTCCTCGCTTAGCGACGTACTCATTTACCGATGACTTGGACTTATGACGAGCTCTCTGACCAGTATGCATACCTAAATAATGTATATTAGAGCTGATTTCCTCTATTCTGTTTATTACAGTATACAGTAAACTACTGTATAAACATTTAAAAATATACCAGAAATGTTATAAATGGTGCAAAGGTGACATTAAAACAATATCAAAGATGGTTGACACAGACCCACTACCATTATAGTATGTTCCTCACTTAGTGACAAATTCGTTCACTGACATGGTCTCGGGAATGGAACTTCGTCGTTAAGTGAGGAGAGGCTGTATTGTGTATGATATTTTCTTTATTTATAACTCTTAATGACCAAGTCACTATTGCCATGAAATGTTTTATACATACAGGATGGTCCCAACTTAGAAACTAGTCACATTCCTGGTGTTACAAACAAGTTTTTATAGAAAACAAAAGTACAACATTTTTGAAATTTAATTAGTTTATAACTTTTCAGTGAAGGGCTCTTAATCCAGGGAACTTGAGCTACCCACCACTTCCTTGAATTAAACCTGATTACTTCCAGTTCCCAGTTACCATGTGTTGTATAACCTCTGCAGGTTTAGCACTTCCCAATTACAGTAATAATTGGTTCATAAGTGTGGATGTTTATACCCTGGAGCATGTGTAAGCTGTGGACCACCACCTCTGTACCGAAGGTTTCAAAGTTCCTAGCCCTTTAAAATTTTGTTTTCTCAGTTGAAAGTAAAATATTTTTTCTATATGGTATTGCTTAAAATACCTAAAAAATTATTCATTTATACCTAGCGTGGCACACTTCGATATATCAGTTGCTTGGGCATTCAGGTTATGCACCCTTGTGCATGGCAAGTAACTGGAAGGGTGACCATGTGAACAAAACCTCGCCTTTGCTAGGTGGCGCTCAACAATTCATTTATTGGCTTTTTATCCTTAAGTATTATTTGTACATACAGAGTAATACAGTATATTATTAACATAGTACAGATATTTGAAAATTTATATTGTTTTTGTGTACTGTATTTTTTTATTTTACTGCTGTTCACTGGGTTTAATAATTAAAATAATTTTAATATTTTATACACAGGAGTGGTCCTTATGGGTTTAGCGCTTGAATTGATTATATTATTATTATAATTATTATTATTATTATTATACACAGGAGTATGAGGTTGCAAAAATTTTTATGCCTAAGTTGTGACAATAATGACTGAGGTCCAAAATGTGAAATACTTTTATTTACAATTGATTGTTCATGAGTATTGAATGCTTCTCATCCATGCATTGTCATTTAGTGTGATTATTCTTAGCAACATAAATGTATGTTTTATTAGGCATTGTTCTTGGACTACTATAAATCAATATATGAAATATATTAAAATGTGTTAATGCTAAAATATAAAGAGAAATAAATATTCTTACAAAGATATTTTGTATAAAATCTTACCCTAAATGTGATCCTGGTATCATACTGGATTCACAAGTTTCCATGGAGTGCAGAATGACCCATCATTATGAACACTGAGCCCTTCCTGATGACAAAGTCCACTTCCTTGGATCAAGAGTCCCTCACCAGGATCAAGGCACCTCCTTGAGTAGTGTGAGGAAGTTGAGACTTGCCTTGATAGCTGCAGCATATTGGTGGGCAACATACTTCCTTGGTAAGTTGATAAGTAGTAGGCTGAGTGCTAGTCCCATCTGCATCAAACCATACCACAGGTGGGGATTGAACTCGTGGCAAGTTAGTCGTTAAACTCCAGGCTAGTGCATAAGCCACTGGGCCAGCTAGCTACAATAAGATTGATCCAACTAGGTATATTTCTACACCTGCGAAGACTGTGCTAACCTCTTTATAGTGTAGAAATATACCTAGTTGGACCTTCTTTTTGATTATAATAATACCTAGTTGGATGAATCCTATTGTAGCCAGCTGGTCCAGTGGCTTACATGCTGGCCTGGAGTTTTAGGACTCGCTTGCCACGAGTTCACTTCCCGCCCGTGGTATGGTTTGTTTGCAATCGTGCCATTACAATTTTGTGACCTATCTGAATCAACTGGTTGTTATTATTATTATTATTATAATAAAAAAGAAGCGCTAAGCCACAAGGGCTATACAGCGCTGAACTGGTTGTTGTCCTTGCTACTGGATTTAGATATTGAATAATGTTTTTGCTGCTCAATTATAGTTTGATTTTTTATTTGCATTACTTTCTCTATCTTGAGTTACTGGTCCTTCCCTAAGCTCTTTTACTTCCACTCTACTTTGAAGGTGAAGGTCAATTTAGCCTTACCTTCCACCAGTACCAAGTTAGTGGCAGAGGAATTCTGTCACTAACTTGGTGCTGGTTCATGTCTTGGAAGTGAAGACACTCCCTTTGGTGGGGAAATATGGTCTTTGTTTTGCCTTGAGTGTCCCATGATGGGCTTCACACTCCAAGGTGGCCATTTATAAGAAAAACTAACCCAGCATTTTCCTTTATATTTGCCATGCATGGAACTTGCACAAACCTTAAACACAAAGTTTTAAGGTGCTATATACTTTCATTTTGTTATCATTACTTCCTTTTGCCATGCCTGAGAATCCATTGTTTATTGCTTGTACAAAGTTCATGTAGAATACAATCTTCAATTCACAAGTGTAATTTTTTTTTTTTTGTTAAGTAAAAGTCAGTTTCCTTTGTGTATTTTCCTTCTTTAATATTTAACTGCATAAACTCTGCTGTTTCAACAACACTTATGAGATGTACCAAAACAAATCAGAATACTATCTGGTGGTTTACTCTGTAACTTCAATAAATAGATACCAAGTTGCTAAAAATCTTCCAAATTATATACAGTGGACCCTCCGCTAACGATATTAATCCGTTCCTGAGAGCTCATCGTTAGCTGAATTAATTTTCCCCATAAGAAATAATGGAAATCAAATTAATCCGTGCAAGACACCCCAAAGTATGAAAAAAAAAAATTTTTTACCACATGAAATATTAATTTTAATACACACAAACTGACACTTACCTGTATTGAAGATCTGGTGATGATTGATGGGATGGGAGGAGGGGAGAGTGTGGAAGTTGTTAATGTTTAGAAGGGGAATCCCCTTCCATTAGGACTTGAGGTATCAAGTCCTTTTCCGGGGTTACTTTCCTTCTTCTTTCAATGCCACTAGGACCAGCTTGAGAGTCACTGGATATCTTTCCATAGAGGCCTGTACCTCCCGTTCCTTTAAGACTTTCCTAAAATGGGCCATAACATTGTCATTGTAATAGTCACCAGCACGGCTTGCGACAGCTGTGTGAGGGTGATTTTCATGCATAAAGGTTTGCACTTCAACCCACATTGCACATATTTCCTTAATCTCTTTCTTCATATCCCTATTAATTCTCACCCTTTTTCCTGCAGAGTTGGCACTAGAAGCTTTCTTGGGGCCCATGGTGACTTATTTTGCAGGTACAATCACTAAAAATGCTGTGATAATATGAAATGTTCCGATTGTATGCATGGATGCGACCACACTGGCTGGCTTGTAAACACTGGCGCGCTCAGGCCACACTGGACGCGTCCCAAACGAATCGCGTAGGGTGAGTTTTTAGCGTTAGCTGAGGCAAAATTTTTGCGTTAAAATGTATCATTAGCTGGATTTAAGATTAGGTGATGCCATCGTTAGCTGAGGGTCCACTGTACTGTATTAAATCTAACATATTTTTTGGAATAACTGCAAATTGGAATGCATTAGGAAAATTTACCAAATATTTTAATATACAGTATAGTATAAAACAAAATAATTAAGCATAACACTTTCAGCAAATTTTCCATTAAATAATAATTACAGTTAAAAAAAGCACAATAGTAAATATTAAATAAATCAAATGCTTTTCATTTTAATTTTTGCCATTTTAAAAAGTTGGTTTATATTTTTTTGCTTCTACAATTAAGTGATGGGAATTCACAATGTCTCCCTTGATGTTCAGATGTTGGAATGCTTGGTGGGCCAAAATGCGATTAAAAGTGTGGTGGGCTGTGATTAAGGTCTCAAGAGCTCGCTGCAGGACTACTGTCCCGGTGCGGAAATTAGTGAAGCACTGCATCACCTCATTGTTAAGACGTTCAACTGATCTTTTCCAGGTTGATGAAAATGATCTGACTAGAAGAATAACTTTTTCTGAAATAGAGTTTAATACATTACTTTTTATATATCAAAGAATCCAAAAGAATGAGAAAAGAATTTAATGCTTTAAAAGGTTGGAAAACTTATAAAATAAAAAAGGCTGCTTTCACTAACTCGTTTAACTAAAGATTAACTTTTTTAAAATAAGGGAAATGTTAGAAAACATTAAAATTAATTACAGTGGATGCTCTTTAAACCAACCATTGTACAGTTATACATACACCACACTGAAACTGCCAGACAAAATCCAAAAATGTGAAATCTCTTTTTTTACTGTAAAACAATAATTGAAAAAATAAAATAAATTAAAAATGCCTTTAACTATAAAAAAGAATCACCCTTCAAGGAAAGTTTGTGCTGGTGAGGGTTTATGATCTAAGTAATTGGATCTGACCTTTTCCTTGGATCAAACCTGATTACTTTCCAATTCCTTGAGAGCTGTATGGCCCCTACAGTTTAGCACTCTTCCATCAATGTAATAAAAATAAATAATAATAGTAACATAAAAACTATAATGTTAGGATTTAATTAATAATTTGTAATGAGAGAAAATGCTGAACTTTTACCTTATCATTATAGAAGTTTAAGAAGTAAACCCACCAGTATATAAAACAATGGGTATGCATTATATAGTACTGTTTTGAAATTGTAAACACATTTTAATAAAGAAATTTTTTTTTTTTAACACGTCAGCTGTCTCCTACCAAGGCAGGGTAACTCAAAAAAGAAACACTTTCACCATCATTCACACATAATCACGGTCTTTGCAGAGGCACCCAGATAAGACAGTTACAATTACAGCATGTATTGGCAATTTTGGAAGGAAAACTGATTACAAAGATTTATTTTGCATTGTATTTTTTCTTTGATGTTTATGGCTCAAATTAAGAGCATAAGAAAGAAGGAACATTGCAGCAGGCCTACTGACCCATGCAAAGCAGGTCCATGTCCCCTCCCAGGATTAGCAGAATGACCCACCTAGTCAGGTCACTTCCACTTAAGAAAGGAGCACGGCATCAGACCTAGTAGCACAAGCTAGTCAGGTCCAACTCACACCCACTCATGTATTTATCTAACCTATTTTTAAAACTACACAACGCTTTAGCCTCTATAACTGTACTCAGGAATTTGTTCCATACATCCACAACTCTATTACCAAACCAGTGCTTTCCTATATCCTTCCTGAATCTGAATTTTTCCAACTTGAAACCATTGCTGTGAGTCCTGTCTTGGCTGGAAATTTTCAGCACACTATATACATCCCCTTTATTTATTCCCGTTTTCCATTTATACACCCCGATCATATCCCCCTTAATTCTACGCCTTTCAAGAGAGTGTAGATTCAGGGCCCTCAGTCTATCCTCATAGGGAAGATTTCTGATACATGGGATCAACTTTGTCATCCTCCTCTGTACATTTTCCAATGCATTTATTTCCATTCTGTAATACGGTGACCAGAACTGTGCAGCATAATCTAAATGAGGCCTAACCAAGGATATATAGAGTTGAAGAGCAACCTGAGGACTTCTATTATTTATACTTCTAGATATGAAGCCAAGGATTATGTTAGCTTTATTGCAACCACTAATGCACTATTAACTTGGTTTTAGATTACTGCTAACCAGAACTCTTAACCCTTAAACGGTCCAAACGTATATATACGTTCACCCGCGCAGTGCCCTGAAAATTTGAAGAAAAAAAAATCTTTTTTTTTTTATAGGAAAAAAGAGTATGTGGTACCCAGGCATCCCCATTTTTTTTTCATATGGTGCACACTGAGTGCGCACGCCCATTCTCTCATGTCTAGGTGACTCAGGCCTATCGTGCCAATGTTGAATGAATGACAAATGAAACGTATGTATACGTTTGGGGCGCTACGCGAGAGAACGTATATATATGTTTGGACCGTTTAAGAGTTAAATCCTTTTTGCAATCAGTAGTATTAAGATCTACATTATTTAGTTTATATGTGGCATGGTTATTTTCCTGTCCAACATTTAGAACTTTGCATTTGTCTATGTTAAACTTCATCTGCCACTTCTCCGACCACTGCATCAGTCTATTCAAGTGCTCTAGTGAAGCTATGATGTTTTGGGCAGTAGTGGTTTTGAAGGTCATATATGCTTATGCCAGGCTGAGCTCTGCTTCCTACTTTCTGTATTATTATTATTATTATTATTATTATAATCAAAAAGAAGCGCTAAGCCACAAGGGCTATACACCTCGGATTGCTTGCACACACATAATTTCAATTCCTTCTGCCACAATGTGACACTCTTCACATTAGCACCTACTTTCTGTAGCAAGAATGCACTGTTTCCACTGAAAACACTGTAGTGTACTGACAAACTAATGGTTGGCAAGTCTTCAAAATAAACATATCCATGCTGTCTGCAATATATTATTTATCTACTGATTTTTTTTTCATATTTACAGATATATTCTTGTAGAGATGCCTTCCTTTGTACATACTGTGATTTGGTTAAACAGTGTAAGTGTGAAATGATTCATTTATATAAAACTACCATTAAAGAGTCTATGGTACATGAAGGTGTATAGATGTTCTACCATTTAAAGTGTTGTAAACAGACTGCATGTGGTCCCCTTAAGCTAAGTTCCTCAAATAAAATATACTTCAAAAAAGTACACTTTTATTTGGCAAAAAAGCATTTCTGCAGGAAGGGGCCCACCTGCAATATGTCATGCCTCATTCACTTGAGAGCTGCGGACACTTGCCATTTGTCACCCTCTACATGTATGTATGGTATATCACTATACCTATAACATTCAGAATTATATTTTGCTACAAATCATAGGGCATACTGCCTATATGTGACATGTGTTTACAGTATTTGAACTGCTGTATCTGCACACCACTGGCAAGACAGAGATGGAGTGAGTGATGATAAAAGTGTTTCTTCTTTTTCAGGTTATCCTGCTTCAACAGGAAATGGCCAATGTGCTAAAAAAAAAAAAAAAATGTGTGGACAAAAAAGCCACCTAGTGTCCTCTCTTGCCACTAACACCCTCCATCCCCACAACAACTTTATTTAACTCTATGCATGACTGGTTGATGTAGTTACTTGACTGAGGACAGACTAGTGAAGTCTCTACTGTTCCCACAACATTTGTCACCTTGTTCCTCATTTATTTGTGTCTTTACTCCTTGCTTATGTGTCATTTTATGCCTTGTTTATGCGTCGTTCTTCCTTGTGTATTTGTCATCTTTACCTACAACAGAGTGAAGCACTGACAGTGATACTCTGGCACTCAGAAACAGACCTAAGTTATCAAAAACAAGTGTAACAAATAAGGTTTCTTTGCATTCAATGTAAAAATACCTGTAATTTATCAAGTATTATTTACAAAACTTATTAAACTGTGTTCTATCGGTTACTATATATAGCTCTCTAAGTCTTTAAAAACTAAACATTGTACTGTATAAAAATCTAATACACATACTGATCAATGGTACAAGCAAACTTATACTGAGAAAAAGTGAATGGAAGATAAGAGATATACTATACAGTGAAACCCCGGGTTTCGGCCGTTGCCCCGGGTTTCGGCCGGTGTACCAGACCTGTCTGCCTGCCCACGCAGGCGTCATGAGTCAGTCCAGTGTTGTCTGTACTTGAGTGAACATTACCCTGTGCTCTCATCCTGCCAGCCAGGCAGACATCCAGCAAGCCAGGCATCCAGCCAGTGAGGCAACTAGCCAGCCAGGCAACCAGCCAGCCAGGCAACCAGCCAGCCAGGCAACCAGCCAGCCAGGGAGCCAGGCAACCAGCCAGCCAGGCATCCAGCCAGCCAGTCAGCCAGTCAAGCAACCAGCCAGCCAGGCATCCAGCCAGCCAGGCAACTAGCCATCCATCCAGCCAGCCAGGCAACCAGCAAGCCAGGCAACTAGCCAGCCAGGCAGGCAACCAGCCAGCCAGGCAACCAGCCAGCCAGGCAGCTAGCCAGCCAGGCATCCAGCCAGGCAGGCAACCAGCCAGCCAGACAACTAGCCATCCAGCCAGCCAGGCAACTAGCCATCCAGCCAGCCAGGCAACTAGCCATCCAGCCAGCCAGCTAGCCAGCCAGCCAGGCAACTAGCCAGCCAGGCAACCAGGCAGCCAGGCAACCAGCCAGCCAGTCAGGCAACCAGCCAGCCAGGCATCCAGCCAGCCAGCCAGGCATCCAGCCAGCCAGGCAACCAGCTAGCCAGGCATCCAGGCAGCCAGGCATCCAGCCAGTGAGGCAACTAGCCAGCCAGGCAACCAGCCAGCCAGGCAACCAGCCAGCCAGGCAACCAGCCAGCCAGGGAGCCAGGCAACCAGCCAGCCAGGCATCCAGCCAGCCAGCCAGTCAGGCAACCAGCCAGCCAGCCAGGCATCCAGCCAGCCAGCCAGGCAACTAGCCATCCATCCATCCATCCAGCCAGCCAGCCAGGCAACCAGCAAGCCAGGCAACTAGCCAGCCAGCCAGGCAACCAGCCAGCCAGGCAGGCAACCAGCCAGCCAGGCAACTAGCCATCCAGTCAGCCAGGCAACTAGCCATCCAGCCAGCCAGCTAGCCAGCCAGCCAGGCAACCAGCCAGCCAGTCAGGCAACCAGCCAGCCAGGCATCCAGCCAGCCAGCCAGGCAACCAGCTAGCCAGACATCCAGCCAGCCAGGCAACTAGCCAGCCAGCCAGGCATCCAGCCGGCCAGCCAAGCATTCAGCCAGCCAGGCAGCCATTCAGCCAGACATCCAGCCAACCAGGCAGCCAGCCAGACAGGCATCCAGCCAGCCAGCCAGAGAGCCATCCAGGCAACCAGAAAGCCAGGCAACTAGCCAGCCAGGCATCCAGGCAACCAGCCAGCCAGGCATCCAGGCATCCAGGCAGGCAGGCAGCCAGCCAGCCAGCCAGCCAGCCAGCCAGCCAGCCAGCCAGCCAGCCAGCCAGCCAGCCAGCCAGCCAGCCAGCCAGCCAGCCAGCCAGCCAGCCAGCCAGCCAGCCAGCAGCCAGCCAG